CTGGCCTCGTTCCTCCACCTCTCACTGAGTCAGAGTCAGACAGAGGAGGAACAGCGCCCCCCACAGGACAACACTGGCACTGCACACACACACACACACCCACACACACACACACATACACGTTTTTGTTACCTGGTGGGTCCCTTTGACAGGGCCGTTCAGAATGGGACCCATAGACATAATCTTTTTTTACCAAGACTTTAAGTAATACAAAACAGTCAATAGAAAACAAACAACTATTTTAAAGGAATTTTATTTTAGATTTTTTTTTCGAATTGCAGTGATTCTATTTTTGACATAGAATTTAATGCCACTCCATGTCCGATGTCTAAGGTCATCTGGTGAGGCATTAATGCAGGCCAGGCCAGGCCAGGCCAGGCAGTGAGACTTCCCAGGGACCTTTCCAGTCTGTATGAAAGGTGTCATGGTCTTCTCCACAGCCTTCACCTCAGATGCAGACCATGGCTTTCTTACACGTTCTAGGGAGAGAAATAAAAATATATTAGCAATATACACTCCCAGGGTTAGGACCAAGCAGCCTGGCTGTAATCCCCCACCTGGTACACTTACCAGAAGGGGCACTGCCACTACCATGGGGTGCATCTGGATGAATGGTTGAAGGTTCTCCGCTTGAAGTTTCTTTTAGCCCGTCCGTTTGTGAGAGGATCTCTACTGCTCTCCCTGTCGCACAGAAAATAAAAATACAAGTGGCCTTTAGGGGAAAAAAATCATACATATTTTAATATTATCAAGAATTACCTTCAGGCTCAATTTGTATCTGGTCGAGGCTCTTTCCTTCGAATTCCGTCACTCTTCCCTGCTCCATGGCCATCAACACTTTGCTGATTTTGGCCAGCTCCAGTGTCCCCTCTGGTAGTCTGTAATATTGCCTGTGGATGCGAATGTCATGGCCGAGGAAGTTGGCTAGTATGTCCATCTCATTCTCTTTCATATTGAGAACTGTAGACATAGTAGCTATGTGCTTTCTAAGTTTGGTTGAGGATAGCATCTCTGGATGCACCGCACCACATTCTTTGGCTACCTGGCGTAGGGAGTCTGATCCCCTGATGTGGGTGTCTGCGCCCGGGCGGGAGAAGAAGTATGGGTTATGGTCAGAGATGGAACAGGCCCTTCTGTTCTCCACCAGCACCTCCATCCAAGCAATCATTTCAGGAGTCAAAAGAACCGGCACTTTCCGACTTCTTTTCCCTTTAATTTCAATGCGTTGAAAATGCTGACACAGCTTTTTCTCAAGTTGGGACAGTCCCAGAGCAATGTCAGAATGGATCCCAGTCTTACTTCTTAAGGTAAAGGCTGTCAGTGGCATCTTTGAAACCTCACCTTCCCTTCTTCGATTGAAAATGATGACCTCACAAAGAGTCAAAACTGCCAGTTTAGACCAATGCTTAGACGTTGGCTCACTTATTAGGGTTTGCACATATTCAGGTCGACATACCTCAATATGTGCATGCATGGCTCTAACGTCCTCAGTCAGAGGGAGCAGGTCCGGAGTGTTCCACTTGGCTTGCCGGAGGGTCTGTAGGGCAGCAGAAGAAACACAGACGTCCCACCTCTTCTCAAAAAGCAGCCGGCTTCGTTGGAGGTTTTTAATAAATAGTTCATCAACACAATGCTCCATTTTTGAGTCACATTCAAGAATATCTGCTAGCTTTCTGAGGCTATGGCCGAGTTTGAGGGCCAAGGATGGAGTCTTGTATTGATTTGTTTCCTCATCATATCCAGCCACAGACCTGACTGCATCAATCACATGGTTAAAGTTGGAACGAATAAAGAAATCCTTAATTGTTTTCAGTTTCCCTGCGGTTTTTGCTTCGTTAATTAACCTACCGACTTCTCTCATTTTCTGCCTAATGTAATCATACATACCGCCATGCGCGGACGCGCGCGAAGCTCAGCGCGCACTCGCAGAGCAAGTACTGTGTATGGAACGCTTATACCCGGACTCTCTGATTATTATCCTGGGGGATTTTAATAAGGGAAACTTGAGCCAGGAATTACCCAAATACAGACAGTTTATCAAATGCCCGACCAGAGAGGAGAACACTCTGGATCACTGTTACACCACCGTGCGCGGAGCTTTTCGCGCTGTTCCCAAGCCAGCCCTCGGCTTCTCAGATCACTCCATGATACATCTGGTTCCTGCTTACAGACAGAGACTAAAGCTCTCGAAACCTGCAGTGAGGAGCTCCAAAGTGTGGTCTGATGAAGCTGTGGAAGAGCTGCGCGCATGCATGGAATCTACAGACTGGGACCTTTTCAGAGCTGCCACAGACAGCTTGGATGAATATACGGACACTGTGACGTCATACATCCACTTCTGTGAGGATAGCATCATTCCAACAAGGACCAGGGTCATCTATAACAACGACAAACCCTGGTTCACTGCTAAACTCCGGCAGCTCAGGAAAGCAAAGGAGTCTGCTTTCAGGGAGGGGGACCGCAGCGGCTACAAAGCAGCTAAATATCAGTTCAGGAAAGAACTGAAAGCAGCAAAGTCCCGGCACAGAGAACGACTACAGGAGCAGTTTGGTAACAACGATACTGCTTCTGTCTGGAGGGGCCTACGGGAGATCACCAACTACAAACCCAAAGCCCCCCCCTGTGCTGATGACCACAAGCTAGCTGACGATCTGAACTTATTTTTCAGTCGCTTTGATGCTGCCCCTGACACCTCTCCCTCCCCCACCCCCCACTACTCTAACGACCCACCCATCAGCCCTGCCCCCAGCCTAACAATAGCCGCTAAAGAGATTAAACAACTCTTCCTGAGGCTGCACCCCCGCAAAGCTCCTGGCCCGGACCACGTGTCTCCGGCCACTCTGAGACACTGCGCCAGTGAGCTTACTCCTGTGTTCACGGACATTTTCAACTCCTCTCTGCAGTCCTGCCATGTCCCGGCCTGCTTCAAATCCTCCATCATTGTCCCCGTCCCGAAGAAGCCCAGGATCACAGGACTCAATGACTACAGACCTGTAGCACTTACGTCTGTCGTCATGAAGTCATTTGAACGCCTGGTTCTCTCCCATCTCAAGTCCCTCACCTCCCCCCTCCTGGACCCCCTGCAGTTCGCCTACAGAGCCAACAGATCTGTAGACGACGCCATTAACCTGGCCCTCCACCACATCCTACAGCACCTGGACTCCCCGGGGACCTACGCCAGGGTCCTGTTCGTGGACTTCAGCTCTGCCTTCAACACAATCCTGCCA